ATATAAAGTAAGCGAAATGGGAAATGTTAGTGAAGCATGTAAAATCAATGAATTAGGGGAAGTAAATAAATTAGGTGAGATAAATGAATCAGGCAAAGTAAATGAATTAGGCAAAATAAATAGATCAGGCGAAGTAAATGGATCAGGCGAAGTAAATGAATCAGAGAAAGTAAATGAATCAGGCGAAATAAATGGATCAAGCAAAGTAAATGAATCAGGTGAAGTAAATGAATCAGACGAAGTAAATAAATCAGGTGAAGTATATGAATCAGGAGAAGTAATTGAACCAGATGAAGTATATGAATTAGATGAAGTAAATGAAGAAAGCAATGGTTCTTTTAGAAGATTATGTTTTAATAAGAAGAATACAGATACTTTAGATGCAATTTCAGTAAAGTCGGTGATTCATTTGAGGATTTTAAAAGTGCAGAGGAAAAAATACAACAGTATGCAGAGTTTAAAGGGTTTAAAATACGGTTGGATCAGTCTACTGTAATGGAATCAAAGAAAATAATGCGAAAAAGAACAATTTATTATCAGCATTCTAGGCAGTATAAAGTAAAAAATCTAGAAAATCCCAGAACTTCTATTAAACAAGGTTGTAACTGGCACATTAACTTTTCACAACCACTTCAGAACAATAGCAATTATCTCATCTATATAACAACTTAAGAGTATAAATATACCTACGAAATGTCTATTGAAGCATTACAGTTTGAAAAATTAAAGCCGTTTATAAAAGACATGCATGATAATATTGAGTTTTATGTGAAAAAATGTAATTTTGGTGCGACTACAATTAAATGGATTCTAGGTCAAAAATATCTATCACATCCAATTTATTCTCAAGATCTCTATAATGAGATTAAAAGACACAAGTCATCTGCATGATTAATTGAAGGTGACGCTGCTCAGTTTTATAAAATTTGTTAGCTAAGCAACATGAGGACCCCTGGTAGTTTGTAAAAGTAAAATGAGAAATTGATACATGTATACTTGTTGGTATTTTTTGGATGAGCCCAGATCAGATTTTGTTATGATCTGAATTTGAAAACTCTATTGGGTATGACAATACTGCAGGCACAAATCGATATAACATGCTATTATCACTTTTGTTGTATTAAACAATAACATATAGTGTCGAATTGTAGCACAAGCCTTAATTAGTGATGAGACCAGTGATTCATATGAATGAGTATTACACATGACAAAAAAAGCAACACAAGGGAGAACACCTAATGTAATAATTACTGACAGGGATCCCGCCATGGAACATGTGATTACTATTGAATATTCACAGGTTCAGCACCTCCTCTGTATTTGGCATATAAAAGAGAATTTCAAAAAAGCACTTCATGGAAAGTTGGATAATGCATTTTCTGATTTTTATTCAGCATTTTGGCAATGTCAAAACAGTGATCTTCCTGAAATTTTTAACCATTATTGGAAAGATATTATTACTAATTATCCGGCTGCATTACAATACTTTGAAAATCATTTATATGAAAGACGTAAATCATAGGCACGTGGGTTTTCGAAAACACTATTTACACTTGGAATCGAATCAACATTATTTGTGGAAAGCCAGAACGCCTGCATAAAACGCATTCTTGAAAATAGTAATACTTCTCTTTGTGAACTCGGCAAGATTATTATAAATCAAATTGAAGAACAGACAAGGCAAAAATATTTTGAAGATTGGAGACAAAGCATTCCTTCAACAACCAATACTGTTACAGTTTTTTTAACTATTAAAACACTCATTAGATGTTATTTAAGGCCAAATGTCTCGCAATATTTGATTAATTAGATAAAGGAAAGCATTTATTATACAGCAACTCGTTCTAGTATTGAAGATATCAAAAGTATACTAGTAAATGAGCCATCTCAACATGAAAATCTTGAAGATGAATTTGATAGTGTATCTATGTATGCTCAATTTCTTTTACAACAATTAGATAATGTTAATATCATTGAAGTTTGGAACATCTCTCAGGTTACAAGTTTTAATATAAACCACATTATATTTTGCTTAAAAGACAGATTATATTGTTGTATATGTTTACTGCAACAAAAAAGAGACTTATTTGTTAACACTTTTTTCATTTATTAAATATTACACAAACTGCTCGATTTAATATGCAGCTTATTGCTCCCAGATGGATTTCTAAAGAATATCGTTATGAGGTAACAAATGAACGTGATCATTTCAAGCAATGATTTGTTAATAGTGTTACGAAGAATAATGAGAATAGATGTAATCAGAGGTTTAACTAGATTCAACCACTTAATAATGTAAGTGAACAAAATCATAATGAAAATGAAGATTTTGTTGAAGAATTGTTATTCTATGAAGAATATGGGGCTTGGCATGTACAGCTACACAAAAATGTTTATTCACCGTGATAAGGAGTTTGTCACTATTGTTGAAAACTATTTGGCAAATATATGTGAATATGAAAGCAATCTTATTCGAATAAACAGACAGCATAAAGATTTGAATTTAGATAGTGATTCAGATAAAGAGAATGTTCAACTTAAAAATTCACGTAAAATTACTACTAAAGGTAGACTTAAATCAGTTCATCATGACAAGTCACATAAGGGAATAAAAAACACAATACAAAAATCAACACATGGAAAATGAAAGTGTGGTCAAAATCGTTGTGGTTATTGCAAAGAACTAGGTCATAACGTTGTCACGTGCTCTAAAAAGAATGCAGAGCAAACAAATGAAGAGCAAACAAGTAATAAAGAGCAAACAAGTAATGAAGAGCAAACAAGTGATGAAGAGCAAGAGTAATAATATGTGATCTTTTTGTTCCATAGTGTAGCATGTATTATGGCTTTAGATTATGGTTTTATGCTTGATATTATAGGTATATGTCTTGAAATTTCATAATAGGCAATTTATTTGATTGAAAATTGTATATGTATAAGCTTATTATATCGTTTGTTCAAAAAAAGATACGTACTGTACATATATTATTTAATAGCGAATTGTTTGTTGAACATATCTCAAACTCGTTCAAATGAAGTCTTACAAATATTTTACATTCCTTTTTTGAGTTTGTAATATGATCATGTACGTATGTATAAATAAAGTGAGTACAAATATATATATGTATATACGTACATTTGTATATATCAAATATTAGTATTACTTTTTGGTATGTATAACATATACAGTATAAGAAAATTAATAAAACTACCTTTAGAGTTTATACTTAGTTTTAGTTTTTGTATGTCAAAACCTAATTAAAAAAAGACAACCGGTTTTAAGTTTGGCTATTCTTATACATTAATATAAAAGCATAAATTAGCATGATTGAGTTGCGATTATATGATTAGTCTTATCGCCTAAAAATTTCTGCTTTCATGTGGCATCTGACCAAATTCTTTAAGTTCGTTTAAGGCCTATGTTAGAGTTAGTATTTATGAGTTTTAATAGTAAAATTGTTCAATGAAAACCTTTTATTAATATACAGAAGATAGTTTCCTATATGAATTTTTGTTATAAGCAATTTTTACTAAATGACCAGTTGTTTTAATTATGTAACATTATACAAAATCATGATTCATTATTGGTTTGTTTTGTAATTTTTCTAGTAATTTATCTAATTTTGTTATAAATATATTTATAAAATTAGTCAATAAAAATTATATACTCTTATCATGTGACTAGATGATACACTGCAGTGCAGGTGCATTAATTTACAAAACCTTTAAAAAATTTATTTTTGTAATTATATATATATTTTTTCAGATAATTGCGAATTTTTTGCGTATTTTTTGCCTTTATTCAAACATTATAAATTAATATTTGTTACTAATAAATAAAGGATAGCCCTATTTCCACTATTATAAATTGCTATTTCTATCATAGTTATACAAAAGTTTATATTTTTAGTTTTAATATTAGAGCGAATCTATTTGTCTCCAGTGATGACAGTCCTGCACCAATAAAAATACAAGATCAGATATAATATTATACCTGATCGTATAATATATAAACGAAGCAAAAAATGCTGTTTGTTGAAATTTCGCAATAACTAAAAATTATATTTAAGAAACTGCCTTTGTTCACTAACAAAAAAGATTCCTTGTAAAATTTTACTATATATTATACCCTTTCTTTACCCTAAATGTGTCTATATTCTAACCCTAATAACAATAAATTTATTTATATTTACGTTTGTTTTGATTGTTGTTTTGATCATACATTATACAGGAGATTGTCAATGCTAGTAACAAGCATATTTTTTCATAATATTATATTGATTTTTAACCAATAATATAAAAATTTATACAGATGTAGTGACTTAGTGAAGTGGTAAAGTTGTCACACTCCAAGTAGCAAGACCAGAGTTCGAATCCTACCAACGATGAAAAATTCGAATTCTCAGTACAGTGTTACGGCAACTGTGAGTATAAGGGCGGATCGACATCTGTAACTAAGTCACACTAGCTTGTACTGAGAGACTGTGGAATAATAGTATAATATATGAGTTACACAAAATCTGAGTGAAGCAGTTGTGTAAATCCAAGATCGTTGCATATAAAAGCCCGCTTGGCAAGACCTGAGTAAAGAGGTAGCACAGATCTTTGACAGTATTATATAAAGGATTATCACCAGGATACTGGAGAACCAAACAGGACCAAAGTGTTTAGCAAGGCACTCTATCAACCAGGCCGCCGAAGAGTAACCGGAGGAAAAAAATTTAATCGTGAGGACCAAAGGCAGGTTACAGCCTTTCCGGGCCATCTGGATTAGAAGTTTGGAATGACGGGTGTACAGGGGATAGTCTGTATAGTAGGTGCTGGGGTCTGGGTGAACTCTATAAGGGCGTAGTAGGTAATAGTAGCGGTTTCGGCTCGCAAGTACTTGGTCTTGGCCTAGGCGTAAGTTACCGAAGTAGACTAGGTAATACGGTAATAGTGGGTACTGAACTGCTCTAGCAGATGATGCTCTCGAGGATAAACTGGTTAATTATACCGGTAGTCCTATAGGTGGCATGCAATGATCCTGGAACTTAGACTGACTTATGTATCACATGTTTCAGGTAAGATTAGATGGATTGGCATAGGAAACTCAGATTAAAGGGTTTAATTAGGTAACTCAAGTAATAGTGGGTTATAGATATGGCATCTAGTGTAGAACCTAGCAATAGGTAGATACTTAATTAGGCACTCAAA